CAAACACTAAAGGCTTCATTTTCACTAGCTAGTCACTGAAGATCATCAACTCTAGACTTCTTTGTGTAAGAGCACCACTACCAGCAGCAGGGCCAAGGATGTTTGCAGAAAGAGGGGGAGGGTAAATGAGATCAGAGTAGCAATGGGCTGGCCAGGAGGCCCAATTGCTGAGAGAAGTGTTGTAGAAGGCACTAAACATTCTAGAGCCATCTGTAGGGCCATGTCTGTAAGGAGGGAGGAAAGGGAAATGTCCCCATGGCCAGCTGAGTACTACCTGTGTAGGAAAATCTCTGTTAAGCTCCATTGGTGGATGCTATGGAGCCTGAAGGAATCCTCAAGGGACTGGGTGGCACAGCATGTGCTTTCATGGGGAAATAGTGAGTTCTGCAGACCCCTCAGTATGCAGAAGTGAGCAGAGTTGATCAAAGGCAGCAGGTGGGTGCAGTGTTGAGGGTGCTGGGCAAGGCAGGCAGGCACTCTTGATGCCATCTTTCTCTAGCCCTCGTCTTACAAGGAAGAAAGGATGGTCTTTACCCAGGACAATTCCTAACTCACTATAGTCTTCCCAGCTACCCAGACTTAGGGCAAATATCCCAAACAGGATAGATGCTGCCCCAAAGACTCAATAGGTCTAAATGAGCCACTGAGAAAATGAACTCCAGCTAGCTACCTCTCGAAGCCCTGTTTTGTAAATGCTCTTATTTCCTGTATGAAAGTTTGACTCACACATGCCACCCAGAGGCAGTAAACGGAATAGTTCATTATTGTGACCAGCGAGCCATTCTTTGTTTTTTATCGCCCTCCAGTGGCCATATTCTATTATTGTTCTTTGAATGCAAATGGCCCCTTGAAGTGTTCCTTTTAGGTGACATTGTGAGTTTGGCTTCCTATCATGGCCTGGGTTAGTTTCTCTGTGAGATGCAGAGGAAACTAGTATGTTTGATTCTTGAAGATCTGAGGATAAGATAAGAAGTTACCTTGATCTTGATCTTGACCTTGATCACAGAGGGGACCCAAGAACCTGGGTGCCATCTCAGAAGAGAGGGGCACGTAAGGAAGAGTAGTGGGAATGGGGAGAGATGCATTTAGAGAAGGGCACACTCGGTGGGAGACCTGGGCAAGTGAATGCTTTAGTGCCTCTATTTCTCCTAGAAGTTTTGTGGGGTGGGGAAAGTTGTAAATACTTCTGGAAAATAAAAAAAGCCAAGCTGGAAAGGCAAGCAAGTACCACCACCAAAACCAAGAACAGGTGCCCCTGCAGGATGTTCAGCTGCCATGCGTCTGGATGTTCTCAGATGAAAGGCCACTTGGCAGGACCGTCCAGAACCTGCGAATATTCAGAAGGAGCCTCATTTTTTCCCAGAGCCCCATCATTGCGTAGTGACCACCAGCCTCTGACCCAGCATATGCCTCTGTCTTTGGTGGCCTCCAGATGCCATCTGAAAATCTTAAAAAAAAAAAAACCCACATGGCTGACACATGTTTCTTTTGACCCTCTAGTTATTCCCTAAGGTATATTCATAGCTCTTCACACTGGCATCTCAAGGCCTGTTCTGTCCTCTTATGGAGCTGTTGGCTATTGTATAATCCACAGTGCCTTCAATTCTGCTGGTCTTTATGCAGCTGGTTTCTGCCTGCTGTTGTGTGCCTAGCCTGTTGGTCATTTCTTCTGCCTTCTTCAAGGTTCAGGTGCCTCCTCCAAGACTTTTGTCTTAGGCTTCCAGGTCCACAGCTCAACCCCTACAGCAACCGTGTTCCTCTCTATAGCTTTCTCCCTTCTGCACCCTCATGATCATAGACACATGAGCTCCGGCTTCCTATTGGATTTATTTACCACTTTTCCCTGTCCTGTATTAACATGGGAAATACATAATTGGAGTTTAACGCAGCGCTAGATACATATACTCCTCTAGACTGTACACGTAAGTGCACATCCCTACTCCTGGCCAGGTTGGGCCCCATAGAGTAGGGGTGTGCAGGGAAGAGATCTTGATGAATCTAGGAAGTCAACAGACTTAGCTTGAGACCCGCAGTCTACTCAGGGTCACTGTTGTCACTCTGGACTGTGATTGGTGGTGACAAAGTGTACTCTGGGAGAGTCTTGTGAATGGGTGACTGCTGTATACATGTGTGTATGCATGTACATATGTGTATAGTTTCCTTAAATGTTCAAATGATTTAACTATACAGCATGATAGGTCATAACACAAGTTCACTCTAGTTTGGTTTCCAGTTTCTGTGATAAAACAATGGCCCAAAACAACTTGTGGAGGAAAGGGTTCATTTGACCTCTGTATGTTATAGGCCATCCCTGAGTGAAGCCACTGAGGCAGACTCCGAAGGCAGGAGCCGAAGCTGAGATCACAGAGCTGCTTACTGGGTTGCTTTTCTTGGGCTCACTCAGCTATCTTTCATATATAGCCTAGACCCACCTGCCCAAGGGTGGCATTGCTCTCACAGTGGGCTGGGCTTCCCACATTAATCGTCAAGGTAATGCCCCTGGCAACCAGTCTGATAGAGGCAATTCTCCAGTTGAGGCTCCCTCTTCCCAGGTGACCCTTGATTGCACTAACTTGACAAAAACTAAGCAACACACCAATAGGATATTTATTAGTAATGTGCAACTTTTACTTCACATTTTTCACTTTATCATCTCTCTTCCTTTTCATTTGAAATTAGGCAAGGCAGATGAAGCTGAAGTCTTCCCACACTCCTACTCCATCTACCCCTTTCTCAAACACTGGTTTGTAACATACCAGGTAGTATCTCTGTATACTTTTATAACCACCTACTCTCTCTATACAGGGCCCACCTGGACCACCCGGTGTTCCAGGGCCCCCTGGACCTGGAGGACCCCCGGTAAGGCTGGCTCAACATTCTCTCAAAGGGGAACTTGGATAATATTTTCAAGGGCAGGGAACGGCTTTCTATGCCCATGTACAGAATAAAGACACAGATAGGAAGACTCTGGATGCATATGCCTCCAAAGTCCTGGACTCTCAGGCTCTTGGGTCCAGCATTTAGAAGTGACATATAAGTCAGCATAACACTAGGTGTTTTCTTCTAACATGGTATGGGGGTGCGTCATGCTGGTCTGCTGTTGAAGTATGCATAGATTTTTGTGGTCTGTTCTCACTAAACAACACTAAGGCCAGTGTTAGCATTCTCTTCTCTCATCCTTTAAAGATCAGCTAGGAAACTGTCCCATAGCAGGTCGTGGGCAGGGTAGACCCAACAGTGTACAGAGAAAGTATTCAGGTCTTGGTGGACATGGCAGTGGTCTCTGCTGAAGAACAGACACGCTGTGTGATCATCAACCATAGATCTGGGGCAATTCTGTGTTTTACAGTGGCTGGCAGTGAGTAGACACCCTGAAATACTCTCCTTAGAGCCAGAGGCCGGATCCTGTGCCAGGGCCAGCATTATGACAAGACTTTAATCTCAAGTAGACTGACAGTTTTTATACTTAACTTTTCAGGGTTTACCTGGAGAGCTCGGCTTCCCGGGAAAACCTGGGCCTGCTGGGCAAATGGTGAGTTGTTTCAGTTCTTCTGCTGCTTGTTCCTTATTGACCTCTTTTGCCCCATGTCAGAAGTAGCCAGGCATTTGCCCTGGCCCTGGGGTTCTCTTGCAGAGCTAGTGATGCCTTCTGAAGCCCCTTCCTTTACAGCAGATCGTGAGGCTGGGGCAGGCTGGTTCTCTTCTCTCCTGCTGTCTTCCAAGACTGCCTTCCCTTGGCCGTGGACAACCTTGTTCGTATTTCCAAAGAAACATTCATGAAGTCCCTTCCACTAAAATGTCAGGGGTCACTAAACCATTCTTATATTTCCTGACCTTGTTTCCCACTTATACATGGAGATGACCCTGGGATTTCAAGGGCTTTCAGGTTTCTTCTAAGCCCTAGGAATCAGCTAGCTTTAATGTCACAAGAAGCTATTCAGCTAAAGGTAGATATGTTACCTTGGCACATTGGTATACTCCTCTTTAGACACACAAATGGAGTGGCCTTGGAACAGTCGGCCACCCTGAAACCAGGTTCTGACCAGACGTCCCAAATCCCCAGGGGCTGCTTTACTCGGGAGTTTGTTTACAACAAGCTCCTTGTTGGAACTGCCAAGTGTACAGGGCAGGGTATGGATGGAGGCTCTGGATGCTGCAGGACATGCAGCACGGAGCAACTCTCCGTTCTATTTGGGTCACAGATCCCTCTGTGGACATAGATAAAAGACTCAGGACCCCAGGTGGATGCCAACCCATAACTGAAGCTCTGCTGCTCTTCAAAGGATATCAGCCATAAAGCCTTTGCTCAGGTGAACGCATGTGAACCTGGTGGAGCACCTGGTTAGTGCATAGTTCCTAGGAAACATTCCTTAGGCACAGTCACCAATTGCATTGTCACCCATGAGTATGTGGTGGCAGGGCCATACAGCAGCTCAAACTCACTAATCTCTTCTGATGCAGTGCATTTATTTGAAAGTATTCTCATCAATCTGGGAAGTATGGCATACACTTGTAATTCCAGGACAAGAGAGGCTGAGGCAGGAGAATTGCTTCAAGTTCTAAGTTATCCTGGGCTATGTAGACTTCAACTCAAATAGAACAGAAAACAAAGTGTTCAAATGACCACGAACAACTGTCTTCATACCGTGGAGGGGTTGTGGGGACAACAGTTTTTAAATGACATTATGGTTTTATCAAGATGAAGCTGTAGCTCAGCTCTGGCTTTCGACTTTGATCTTTTCTGGTCACTGTCATGATTTCACTGAAACGAGTGGCTCCTTCTCCTGTGGCTATGATGGTCAGCAAACCTCTTCTGTGCAGCGGGAACTTTAGAGGCAAAGAGAGATAGGAATCTTAAATCAGATTCAGAAAATTCTCATTTAGAAGAGCAAGCAAGAACATTTTTAAAAAAAACTATGAAAATTTTAAGGTAGACATGTAAGTACATATGTATAATTCCAACATGTAATAGTCTGAGGCAGGAGGATTGCTATGAGTTCAAGGCTAGACTGGACTATATAAAGACTACCAGGACAGCTAGAGCTATATAGTAAGATCCCAGTCCTTTTATTAAAAAACACAACAAAAAATGACTTAATAGCATTAAGAGAGACCAATAAATGGCCCCTGAGGTAGTCCGTGAGGGATTCTGTTTCCCATCAGTCCTCATGAGGGAGTGTGTGTGCTGAAGATATATGGCGTAAGGCCCTAAGAAGTGGGGGTGGCAATACAGTTTAGGCATAGTGTAGGGACTTGCAGTTGTATCCAGAAGGCTCTTCAGGTCCCCATCCACATCTCTGTGATCTCTGAGGCCATTCCATCCTGGGATTCATTGTCTCTTCATCTGCACCCAGCATCTGGGATAGAATCTCAAGGTTGGGGTGGAGAATACAGCTGGATTCAGAAGGCACACTATGAAACTCCTCAGAAATACAAGGTTGGGATGGCAGCCATGATGGTTGGAAGGAAGACACATGAAGCCATATGAGTCAGGAAAGGAGCCCAGGATCAATGCGGATGGTAATGTCTCTGGGGCCTCTTGAGGCCAAGATTAGGAATAGAACCTTGTCTTTCCTCTTCATTCATGTACATGTATGATACATGAGCTAGGGCACAGATCAGAGGGTAGTAACCGTGTAGTCCTGGCAAAATGTTAGGAAAGCCTGGCTGGCAGAGACTGACGCTTCTTAGAAAGGGAAACATCTGGAAAGTAGATGAGGCCATGCACCCAGGTCTAGCTGTAGAGTCATCTTGTAATCGGCATTTCCCTCAAGTCTTCACTAAACATGCCTTTGTTTTCATTTTGTTTCTTTCCTCTCTTGGGCCAGGGGATACCTGGAAAGGATGGGCTGAATGGACCACCAGGCCTGCCTGGCTCCAAGGTGGGTGCTTGCAGGGTGCTGTGAGTGTGAGAATCAGAAACTGAAGAGCAAAGGAGACTCCTGGTTGTTGGGTTCCAAAATGAGTCAATCGCCTGGACTTTGGACCAAGGCTAAGTTGAAATGGTTGGAACGGAGGTCAGATGGAACGGAGTTCTCCCAAAGCCACCAAGGAAGGCTCTGAATGTGTTCCAGTCAATCTGCAGAGATAAATCAGTCATGGGAGACTTCAGTTTTAAATGGTCTCCAGTGGGTTCCAGTAGTAATGACAGGGAGAATCAAAGGTTAGAGTCTAGGTAGTACAAAACCAAATTCCCACTTTAAATGCCTCGAGTGAATAAATAGGCAATGGATAATAATTAAAAAATTTTTAAAGAATTTAAAGTTTTATTTTATGAGAATGAGTGTTTTGCCTGCATGTGTGTCCGTGCACCACACAGTCCCTCAGAGGTCAGAAGAGGCCGTTGTTAGTCCCTGTTTCCCAGGAACTGAAGCTATGGACTGACACATAGCTTCTGGGAACCTGCTGAAGTCCTTTGCAGGAGCGACAGTGCTCCTAACCACTGATCAACCTCTCCAGCCCTAGCAACGGACAGTTTAAACAAATAAAGTTTATTATTAAATTGTAATTGTATGTTGGTCAGACGTGCCCTTGAAAGGCAGCTGTGGAAGAAAACTTTTAATGTCTTGGTGAAATCTGTTGTTCTTTTCACTCAGATTTTTTTCATAAGAAAATATAGAAGAAATGTGGACATAGATCTATTTATAGTCATTTTATTTGCTTATTCTTATTGGACAGAGTGATGGGTTTCAGAAAGGCCTTTCTGTTCAGGTAGACCATGGGCTTTGGCTAGGGTCAACCCCCCTTCTTGTTAGTTACTCCCATCCCTTCCTCCAGCCCTTCATCTACTACTCCATACACACATTCTTGATTTTATGTGTCTATAGAAAAATCTAGGAGCCACAAATGAAGGAAAACTTATTTTTGTTTTTCTTAATCTGCTCTATTTCATTTAATATGATGACTTGAAGCTGCATCTATTTATTTTTTCAAATGGCATGGTTTCATTCTTCTTCATGGCCGAATAAAATTGACACACATGTATACATATATTCACGCTTTCTTGCTTTCATTTCATCTGTTGACAAGCACCTAGGCCGATTCAATAATTTAGCTATTGTGAATGGTGCAGTATCTCTGTAGTATGTTGATTTAGAATCCTAGGGTTATACTGTTTAAAGCCATTTGTGTAAATATTAGTTACTTCCTTCTCTGGCTAATCAAGTACTTTGTATTTTCAGATCAAAGGGTATTCTCACATTGTCCCTAGTCCAAATCTCTCAGAAGAAAAGAGATGTCATCTGTACTCAATCACATGCCTTGAGGAACAGAGCTGGGGAATATCGGATGTAGGAGGGGTCCTGAAGTGAAGGGAATGAATGACATTTGTATTCTGCTACATGCCTTAAGCAACAGAGCTGGGGAATATGGGATGTAAGAGCATGAGAATTCGGAACCATCTATACACAGGTGGCCCTGTTCCAGACCTATCCACAGCCAACAGTAGGTGTGTTCAACCAAGTGTGGTCCCTTTTGTGTTGACTCTGCATTTTCTTCCCACAGGGAGAACCAGGGGACCCTGGTGAAAGTGGAGTGCCTGGACTGCCAGGACCTCGGGTATGATTCTCCCCATTCCTGTTGCCCCTATGTCTCCAGATAGGGTTGTGTGACTGTATGTGTACCATCTAGGGGTCACAAAAGAAACATGAAGATAATTGGAAAAGGGCTAGTTAGCACAGTTGGCAGATCCATGGGGCTCCTTCATGATACCCTGAGTCTGATCAGATCAGAGCCAAGATCATCTCCTAGGGAGTGGTTCTAGGGGGTGATGTGGTCCTGCTAGGGAGACCTGCTGCATAGAGGAAGCTCCAAGGAAAGCTGAAGACCTGAGAAAAAGATAAAACATTCACTGACTATTCTGTCCTGCCAGGGAGTGAGCAAGGGGTCTAGAGATATTTCTCATTTCCTCCTCTTCTTACTCTCTCCCAGTATTTTTGTCTTTCTTACCTTACCTTTTCTTCCCAAGACTTCTGGTGTTTGGTCCCTTCTTAAATGCAGTGACAGAGAAATCCTGCTGGGACAGTCTGCAAGTTCATCACCTACTGGGCTTCCAGCAAATGGAGTAGCATGAAAATTGGGTGGAGAAGCAGGCTGCTCACCCTGTGATTGACAGGACACTGCCATGAATGTATACAGTCCAGTGCCTTGTGTCAGTGGCTCTCCCTACATGCTCATGAGTTCCTTACTGTGGATTTTCCTGATGAGGACAGAGAGTTACAGGATCCTGCTTCTCCAAGCCATCAATTCAAGATCCCAGTATAGCTAGGGCTCAGAATAGTCAACATAAAAGAGAGGAGAGCTAGACTCTGGTGTGCATTTACAAATAATGCCAAAGTTTAGTTCTGAGGGACTTTGTAGCCAGTCTGACTGTGTCAGGAAAACTGACCCGCCACCTGCTATCTGCTTTGCTCCTGCTCCACCATGTGTGGGTTAAGAACAGTGTCCGGGTCGTTCTCAGCTCTATAGTGCCCTCTCCTGTCCACAGTTAGGGAACAGTGTGGATCCTACATAAGGACTTGTGTCGTGGAGGGACTTAATAAGTCAGTCCTATTAGAGTGCAGAATGGACTGAACTGTCCAAATTAGCTGGTATTAGCAGGAAGTGAGGTAGTTGAAGACCTATCGGGTCACCTCATCACCTCATTTGATAGCCAGCAATCAAGCTCAGTCTACACTCCAGTAGCCTTCAGAGTTTCCAGCCACACTCAGCTTATTCTTCCTCAGCACCTAGGAAAGAGTTCACACAACAGAAGAATCTGTGCCTGCTGAACTCAGGGGAAAACTTCAGTGGTGAACAATTTGCACAGCTCTGTCTAGGGAAGTTCTTATGAGATATGCTGTAAACCTGGGGGTATTGATGGGATCTGTAGGATGCACAGAAAATTCTAGAGTGTACTAACTCCATATGACAGAAGATCCATGAGGCTCCATCATGATAGCCTTCATCAGTACTCCTTCATGACAGGAGATACCAGTGGGCTCTCCCAAGCCTTTTATAGTAAGGACACTAATCCCATTCAGAGCGAATTTACCACCATGCCTGACTACCTCACAAAGGCACCATTCCATAGTAACTCTTTGAAGATTATGTCTTAACATAATTTATTTTAGGAGAAGCATTAAGACCACAGCAGAAACTGTGGATCATTTCATGGAACCAGAGCTACAGGCTAAGATGAATGTGTACACTAAACATACATCTAGTTTCTTCATCTCTACTACCTCCTTCCTTTTCCTTCCTTCTTGAATCCCATGTCTCCCTCCTCCTTTCCCATAATCTCTTCCTTGCCTTCCTGTCTGATAAGCAATGCTGCCCCAGGCCTTCATAACCAGTTGACTTGGCACAGCTCTGGGAAAAATCCACACCACCAACTGGCTCAATCTTTCATTCATGTGTCTACTCATCAGAAAACCATACTTCTTATGGGTATCTATACCAAAGCTTTTACTAAATATTGTGTCAGATATTAAACATATATTTCCTCTGAAGGAATTAGTGATTACTTTTCAGATATACAGTTAGAAATTAACCTGCCATGCATCTGTTCTAGCAAGGGTCCTGTGATACAGCAGCCGATAGCCTTGGAATGGGGTTCTTCTGATCCAGTCTGGTCTCCCATGTCAGTTTGATGACACAAATTGGAGAAATGTGTTCTTTGGTATGCTGTGACAAAATTTTTCAGGCTAAGTTATTTGGAAACAGAAATGTATTCTTCCCAGTTCTGGAGGTTGCAAAGTTCAAGGTGAATGTGGTGGTTGATTTGGAGGCGGCAAGATGCTTTCTGCTTTGTAGAAGATCCATACATCTTTAAATGCTATGGTAACACCAGAGGTAGACGATAAGATGGACACTTTCCAGGAGACCAGCCTTTGTGACAGGAAAGAACAGTGGGCTCTCCCAAGCCTTTTATAGTAAGGACCCTGATCCCATTCAGGAGGAATCTACCTCCATGGCTGACTACCTCCCAAAGGCCCCACCTCATAGTAACTCTTTGAAGATTATGTCTTGACATAATTTTTCAGGAGAAGCATTAAGACCACACCAGAAACTTCATAGATAAGAATGAAATTGACAAGGGTCAAGAACTGATATGGACCTCTCTAGGGCATGCTTTCTCCTAGAAGCCTGGGAACATAGCATCATCTTCTAGGACGATCTCCCATTGCAACATTAGCGAGAAGGAGAATTTAAACTCTTCAGTGCTTGTAAGCACAGAGGACTGCCTGATTTTATGAAAAGAAGGAACAATAACCAGGAAGCCTGAGTCATAGGGACACATTCTGTACCAGCTTCTCCTTCATTGCTGAGCCCAGAGTGGAGTGGGGTTTTGGGATTCCTGATAAGTCCAAAGACCTGGTTTGGGATACATCCAAAAGTTCCAGGTTCGGCTCCATGTTGTTTTAAATTGCAGATGTTTGGTTCAGGAAGAGCAGATGCAGCATGCACTACTCCTTTTGGGGAAGCAGAAGACAGTATGGGAGAGTGTAGAATTCCTTTCTGTAGAAATAAAAAACACTTAGGCTTCATGCTTCAGGGTCTCGGGACCTAATGTCTCATTTTGAGAGAGCAAAGGCCCATGGCTGGCATGCACTGAGGATGTGTGGGCTGAACTGTGGTGTGACAGCCATGTTTGAAGGTATACATAGAAGATAGTGGAACTTTGTTACTCTGTCTACAGGGTGAAGTTGGGGAGCAGGGCCTTGCAGGTCATCCTGGTGAGAAGGTTAGTGTGCTCATATTTTTATTTATTGTTTAATTCTTTAATTAATGAGTCATCATTATACATCATGTCCTAGATAAGCATTATAAAAGAATCACAAAGAATCTTGCCTTTTGAAAGTTCATTACATTTATCTCATGCTTCAGTTTGTTTAATTGTTTTAAGTGTGTCCTAGGCATCAGTAGTTGTGCTGAGCATTAGAGCCCATTGAGGAACCCAAAGAAACTGGGCATAAGAACAATTTTTACATTGAGGAACAAATGTAGTGAAGGAGGCGTGCCATCCTAAAGAGGGGGTTAGGGATGTCAGGAAAGATGCTAAAGTGTCGACACTGTAGCTGAGTCCTAAAAGGGTAAAGAAGTTAGTAGATACCTAGAGAGGTAGGATGAAGGTTCCTGAAACAGGAAATGACCTAATCAGGAAGAAGCATAGGGAACTACTTCCCATGTGACTAAGTTTGAAATCTATGAGGGGATGAAAAGCATGTGACCTAGGACCCCTCTCACAGGGAAACCCTCCCACTGGTACTTACTGGTTTTGTTCTCATAGGGAGAAGTTGGCCTTCCGGGTGCTCCAGGCTTCCCAGGAGTACGTGGAGAGAAAGGAGACCAGGTAAGAGGGACTGCTTCTTAACACCAGGGCCAATGTGCCTGTGGCCAAGGAAAACATATTTTCTGAAGTCTTCCTCCCTTGGAATGAGGTGATGACTTTGAGATTAGAGTAACTCTCAATGTTGAGGAGTGAGATACACAAGATCAGAGTCTAGAGTCCTTAGGCATGGATGAAAGGATGGTGACTGAGAGACACCTCTGAGAAGAGCTGACATCTTTAGAGGAAACGGGCTGTGAGGCACCAAAATCAGGAGTCAGCTGCTTCTAGAGCCTCCTTGAAGTTAGGTTTCACTGTGGCCATCCTGCAGAGGAGGCAAGAGCAAGCACAGGTGTGATTCACATTCCTGTCATACAGCACCAAAGTGCCCTCACTCAGAGAGGCAGAGGTTCTAATGCTTTTTATGTAACCTTTACTTTAGGGAGAAAAAGGTGAACTGGGACTTCCAGGTCCGAAAGGTGCCCAAGGAGAAAAGGTAACAGCTGCCTGCACTGACCCTCATCACCAAATTTCCTAGCTGGTTTCCAGAGAGAGGGTGGAAGTCAGGAGGGAGGAAGGGAAGAAGGGAAAAAGAAGAGGGAGAGGGAGAAAGAGAAAGGGAGGGAGGTAGAGGAGAGGAGAGAGGAAGGGAGGAGGAGACGAAAAGGGAGAGGGAGGAGGAGGAGGAGGAGGAGGAGGAGGAGGAGGAGGAGGAGAAGTTTTACAGGATGTATTTGTGTTACTTCAAAGTATGTTTCTAAGTAATCCTGACACAGGGTAGCATTGCTACTCTGTCTTAAGGGTCTGTCAACACTGACATACTTTTGTTTTCTTCCAGAAAGCCTCTGTCTAGATAGTAATCTTATCATCTCTGAGTTAGTTTAAATGGTTATTTCTTCTCCATCTGCCAGGGTAGAGCCCAGAGCCCATGCTCTGACCAATTCACAAAGTCCTGCAGATTCAGTTCCTAGTGTAATAAGCTGCTGGTTATGAGAGAAGGGGATTCATCCTCAATGGTCTCCAAGCCTGCTGATACCTGACCATCTTCTTCACTGTAGACTCACAGAATGTTGACACATAGTACTGATTTCTTGGCTCCAGGGGCCAATGATTCTCAGAGGCTCAAAGGCTCCTTCTTCCTTAAAGGTGTCTGCTCTGACATTGCACTTGCCACACTCTGGTTCTCAATAAATCAGTAAACCAAGATGTGTTTCAAATCCATTAGTAGAAGCATCCGGTGGAAGCACCATCATGGGTAGGTTAGATCGAAGTGGGGGAAACCTCTGTTATAGGCCTCAGATGCTCTGTGATGACACAATTAACTAGCTTTGGGGGTAGCAGAAGCTACTGATATATTAACACATTGCAAAAGTTTACCTAATAGTCACGTGGATATTAGACCCAGGTGGGAGAGGAATGGCTCCTGCAACATCCCAGCCTCTACAATCTTTTATTTCTAATCCATTAATCATCTGTGGATGGTTCCAGAAAGGGTGCTTGGTACTTCTTTCCAGGAACTTTTGTTCAAACTTGGATTCTCAGAAATGCACTTTCTTTTTTTAAATATATATATAATTTATTTATTTTTTCAAATTGTAATTTATACTCATTCACACAGGGGTTATAAACACAAAAAGACAGGACGTGGGGAAGGGGATGACACTGAAGCATGGGTGTTCAGGGGGAATACAGATATCTTTCAGAACAGGGTATCTGCTGGTTGAGGGTTCAGGGGACAGGTCACTATGACTCTGCCTATAATTCACTTGTCATTATCTAAGTTGGTATTATTTGCCAAGGCTGCCTATTTACAAGGTCTGTGACTACTCAGGCTGGTAAATTGTCACAAAAGCTGCCTGTTTACAATAGCTCACAGCCATCTGTTTCAGTGTTTATTCACAGAGACCCAAGACTTGGTGTTAGTATACATGTATGACAGGCCTATTGCTGATTTTAGGCCTATGGCTGATTTTAGGCCTTCAGTGTGTAAGCAGGGCTGCCCCTGACATCTCCTCCCTTCTCTAAGTATAGAAGGGCTGTGGCGATTCTAATCTTGCGAAGGTGGGGATAGAGGCCTGACCTCCAGTAATTGAAGGGGACCTTGTAATGGCTCCGGTCCCCCTGTTGTTGTCCAGTGAGGCATGAGGGCCATACCTGTCCTGATGTCTTTTTCCTGGAGAGGGAATACTTTTGACATCAACCCCTATGCAGTCAGGCTTGTCCCTCAGGGAACCCAGAAAGATATTTTTAACTTTTATTGATATTCCCTTGCAGTGCTTAGCCTCGCAGCCTAAGCAAGAATTCAGATCGCCAGTCAAAGGGGGTTCTGGGTGGCCCCTCTCTGCTTAGTCTAGGGGCAGAAGTTCCCTCTTTTAGGTTGGGTGGAGATGGGTTTTGGGAACACCCTGGATAAAGTAACAACCTCATCTTGAGTCTTGTGGTCCTCCATAGCTAACTTATGATAATGTATCTGAATAGGTTGTGCTACCAAATTATTTATCTGTTGTTTCACAGAGTTAGTCAGCCTATTTGAGGCCCAGGGACCAGAAGAAATAAGCAAAAAGAACCCAAGTAATGGTCCTAAGATGAGAGGAGGTAGGGTTGACAACCCTGGAGAGGCTGAAAACCATTTCTTGTACCAGCACTCATCTTTCTCTTTCTCTCTCTGAGTTTTCTCAGCGCCTTCTCTGACCTTTTTCATGCTCTCTTTAACCATCCCTGTCTTGTCTATGTAAAGGCAACACTCTTCTTTAAGGGCTGTACACAGTCAAGAGCTGTACACAGTCTTTTCTATTATAATAGAGTAAATCAAGTTCAATAAGTATCTTTGCGATTTTTGGAGGTCTCTTCAGACAGCGAAATGAGGGATTTCTTCAGATTAGTGATGTCAATCTCTAGCTGTTTGATGTTCTTGTCAGTGGCCCTTCAAAGGTCTGAGTAGTATAAGTTCGGAGGCCAGCATCTGGATTAGAACTTCTAATAGCAGACATCACGGGTGATTCATTTTTACCTGGAAAGGGAAAAGAAGGGAATTCTCAGGGAGACTTCTCTTCTCTCGATGTAAATTGTTATTCATTTTATTTATGGTTGGGCCTGGCTTTGTAGGGGTATCTATTTATTTCATTAATGTTTTTGGTAGCCAATTAGCTATGCCTTCTTTGGTATCAAACAGGCATATCAATCCTCAGCCCCATAAGGGAACTGGGTCTGGGCCATTCTCTTTAAGGGTAAGAGGGTCCTTCCCCATATCTGTGTCATAGTTTTTATTGGTCTCGGTGATGCCAGAGGCAGTCAGCAGCAGATTTGCCATGAGCTTTCAGTTTTAGAGAGTTAAAAGTGAACAAGGCATGATGGAGAGTATTTCAGGGGGACTCCTTCTTGGGGGGGTACCATTCCCCCTCTTTTGTTTTTAAAGCCTATTTTTCAGATTTCTTGTAAAATCAGGGCAGAAGCACCAACAGTCACTCCTTCCACACTAAAAGAATCATGCGGACATTATTTAAAGAAATATAAATCTATATTAATAATCTCTTTTATCAAAGGACTGTTATAGCACAGCCGACAACTAATCAGACTATGTAATATATCGATTAATAATAGCTTCTTCTACTTTTTGTGAGATTACTTCTCTTTTGTCAATTAATTGTTGAGAGAAATTAGGATTTACATCTCTCTTGAGAATATTAAACAGAGACTTAAATTCTTTTGTGGAGAGCTTAAAATAAGATCTTAGCCAGTTAGCATCTCCTAGAAACTTTTGAAAATAATATAAATTAAGTAAACTCTCTCTCTCTCTCTTTTTTCAGACCCTTTATCTGTTTTTTTTATTGGATGTTTAATGTATTTACCTTTCAATATTATGTCCTCTCCCATTCTCCCCCAAAATCCCTTATTCCATACCCTCTCCTCCTATTTTTATGAGGGTGCGCTCCAAACAACCTCCCAGTTCCATCTCCCTGCTCTTGAATTCCTCAACACTAGGGAATCCAAACTTTTGGGGACCATGGCCCTCCACTTCCACTGATGTCTGACAAGGCCACCCTCAGTTACCTATACAGGTGGAGACATGAGTCCCTCCCTTTGTGCTCTCATGCTGGAGGTTTAGACTTTGGGAGCTCTGTTGAAACTTTTGATACTCCTTCTAGACCAAAGCACCCACACTTTGGTCTTCCTTCTTCTTCTTGAGTTTCATGTGGTCAAGGCTGCCCACTCTCTCCCTACCTATTCAATATAGTACTGGAAGTCTTAGCCAGAGCAATTAGGCAACACAAGGAGGTCAAAGGGATACAAATTGGAAAGGAAGAAGTCAAAATCTCACTATTTGCAGATGATATGATAGTATATTTAAGGGACCCCAAAACTTCCACCAGAGAACTCCTAAACCTGATAAACAACTTTAGCAAAGTGGCTGGATATAAAATTAACTCAAGCAAATCAGTAGCCTTCCTCTACTCAAAAGATAATCTGGCTGAGAAAGAAATTATGGAAATGACACCCTTCACAATAGTCACAGATAATATAAAATACCTTGGTGTGAGTCTAACCAAGCAAGTAAAAGACCTATATGACAAGAACTTCAAGCCCCCGAAGAAAGAAATCGAAGCAGATCTCAGAAGATGGAAAGATCTCCCATGCTCATGGATTGGAAGGATTAATATAGTAAAAATGGCTATTGCCAAAAGCAATCTACAGATTTAATGTAATCCCCATCAAAATTCCCACTCAATTCTTCACAGAGATAGAAAGAGCAATCTTAAAATTCATTTGGAATAACAAAAAACCCAGGATAGCGAAAACTACTCTCAGCAATAAAAGAACTTCTGGGGGAATCACCATCCCTGATTTCAAGCTGTACTACAAAGCAATAGTGATAAAAACTGCATGGTATTGGAACAGAGACAGGAAGGAGGATTAATGAAATAGAATAGAAGACCCAGAAATGAACCTCCATACCTATGGTCATTTGATCTTTGACAAAGGAAGTAAAACCATCCAGTGGAAAAAAGACAGCATTTTCAACAAATGGTGCTGGTCCAACTGGAGGTCAACATGTAGAAGAATGCAAATTGATCCATACTTATCTCCTTGTACAAAACTCAATTCCAAGTGTATCAAGGATCTCCACATAAAACCAGCTACACTGAAACTAATAGAAGAGAAATTGGGGGAAAGCCTCAAACACATGGGCACAGGAGAAAAGTTCCTGAACAGAATACCAATGGCTTGTGCTCTAAGATCAAGAATTCCCAAATGGGACCTCATAAAACTGCAAAGCTTCTGTAAAGCAAAGGACACAGTCAATAGGACAAAGCAGCAACCAACAGATTGGGAAAAAATCTTTACCAACCCTACATCTGATAAAGGGCTAATATCCAAGGTGTACAAAGAACTGAAGAAATTAGACTCTAGACAATCAAAGAACCCTATTAAAAAATGGAGCACAGAGCTGAACAAATTCTCAACTGTGGAAGCTTGAATGGTTGAGAAGCACCTAAAGAAGTGTTCAGCATCCCTAGTCATCAGGGAAATGCAAATGAAAACAACCCTGAGTTTCCACCTCACACCAGTCAGAATGGCTAAGATCAAAAACACAGGTGACAGCAGATGTTGGCGAGGATGGGGAGAAAGAGGAACACTCCTCCACTGTTGGTGGGATTTTAAACTGGTACAACCACTATGGAAAGCAGTCTGGCAGTATCTCAGAAAATTGAACATAGTGTTACCTGAGGACCCAGCTATACCACTCCTGGGCATATACCCAAAAGATGTTTCAACATGCAACAAGGACACATGCTCCACTATGTTCATAGCAGCCTTATTTATAATAGCCAGAAGTTGGAAAGAACCCAGATGTCCTTCAACAGAAGAATGGATGCAGAGAATGTGGTACATTTATACAATGGAGTGCTACTCAGCTATTAAAAACAATGAGTTCATGAAATTCTTAGGCAAATGGATGGAACTGGAAAATATCATCCTGAGTGAGGTGACCCAATCTCAAAAGAACATGCATGGTATGCACTCACTGATAAGTGGATATTAGCCCAAAAGCTCACAATACCTAAGACACAACGCATAGAAATGCACTTTCTAATAAAGATCTTCCTTTCTAGAATGTAGAGGCATAGGGAGGCCACAAGGCTGTACTTGTTTTGTCAGAATTATAGGCAAGCTTCTAAAGATTCTGGGTCATGTTAGGCTCCACTAGAGTTTCAGATAATAAATCCAGAACAAGACACTAATGCAAGGCTGCCTTCTTCTGACTGGGCTTGGCAAGTCCCTGCCTCAACTTTGCCCTCCACTGTTTTTGCCCTATAGCTAGCACCTTGGAATTGGGAATGGTAATTCTTCCTGCTTGTCAAGGACAACTTAGGGCTGAAAACTCACAGAGAAGCAGGATTTGAATCCAGACCTATCAATGCCAAACTTATTCTAAACCCATTGCTTTCTAAAGTTAAGCCTCTTACTCAAAGTTGGAGAGTCTCCCTCCCACCACCTGCCTACTGGTGGCCATTCTTCCTACACAGCTCTGGGGATAGACAAGGAGATGGTTGTCAAGGCATCCTGTGTCCTCTGCTTTAGACACCTCTTCCTGTGTCTTTTCATTTTACACCTATTTGTCTGTTTGTCCACACCCCTTCTAGGAAGCACTGGGTTTTGATATCTTGGCTTTGTTAATGGCAAGGAGATGGGGTAGGTATGATGGTCTCCAGAGCACTAGAGCCTGTCAGGAAGGAGACAGTCAGTCAGTCACACCATGACTCTGATGGCACTTCTCCTGGAACTTCTGTCATGTCAGACCAAGTGAAAAAGCTGGATTCTGAGTAGGAATCCAGGTGCCTGTCTGCCTGTCTGTCTGTCTGTCTGTCTGTCTATGTTTGTACATCTGGTCTGAGGCTTTTGTGTCTCACTGTCTCTATTGTTGAAACAAAGAGGAAATCATGTAACCAATAATAAGTCAGTCTTAGGAAGGCAATTAACATATACTTCCTCTCATATGTGGCATATATATATATATATATACATATATATATATATATATGGCACATATATGAGGATATGAATATATATGGGACATTAAAATAAAGGTGTAGAATTTGGACAAGGAAGGGGGGACTCCCAGTGGCGTGGAGTACAGCAGCAAAGTACAATATACCTTATATAATTATATAAAAATATCATTATGAAAGCTATAATTTTGTGTATAAAATATAAAAATACTGTATGGACCTACCTACAGAGGTAAATCAGTTCATATACATGAGATACATAACTTAGAATGTGCTATGTAGCAGAAGAAACAAGCCAAAGGCAATTCTACCATTTTAGTCCTTATGATATGGTAGAAGCGGGTTTCAAGTTCAGCTGAATCAGATCCCACACTTGTGCTGCACATGAGAACAATCCTGGTATATGTGGGTATATGAGCACAGCTTGCCTGTCTAAGGGGGTAGCACAGCTCTGGAGGTCCCTCTCAGGGATCTAGACGTCGGTATGGCCATGAAGCTAAAGAGTATGTGTGCGAACATCTGCTGTAACTGGCTTTGATGGCAGCAATTGAAACAACTTCAGAATCCTCTCTATTATTACAAAATGCTGAAATGATACATGGTACTTAAATAATAACCTGTAGATAAACACACCAGTCTAGAAACTTTAAAAACACATGTCTGAGATACTGTATAATTTAGCATTTAAATTATGTGTGTGTCCCAACTACAATCTATTCAAGTATATGCAAGGAGGGTAGTCTACTTTTCTTGGGGGAAATGTTGTTATAGAACTTTCTTACCATCAGCAGAATAGATATGAATATATATATATATATATATATATATATATATGATCTTACACATATTTTCATTTCTTCTAGGGTGAGGTTGGTCCAGCAGGTCCCCCTGGCTTACCTGGAACTGTAAGTTACTCTGATTCTAATCTCATCTCCTTCTCTGAATTCCTAAGACAATGGGGTACACACACACACCAGTTATTAATATGCTATCATTAATTCATTAACTAGACCCACTCTTAGTTCTTCTAGTGAAGAGAAGCCCTGTGCTTATTTTATTCACTTTGTTCAACAAAGGCACAATTATAATTTGTCAGAATATATCATAGACACTGAGAGTACAACTCTACCTATTTCTCACAGGGACTCTGAGACAAGAATCTAGAGACAAGAAGCCATTCCTTCAGGGTGGGACCTTAGTACCATACCCCAAGCCTCTGACTCCTCTCCCACCTTCCACAGGCATCCTCAGTGTTTAGGGATTTTTAAGGCTATCTGATGACAGTCAGCTTTTCAACTGTGACCTGTGAGATATTCCAATAGATTTTTGTCTAATTGTGGGTAGAATGTTAGATAAGTTAAGGCAGTGAATGGCAATTGGCTGTGAAGGGAGGGAAGATAGCCCAAGACAGCATGGTGCTGTGTTGACAACATTCCACTTTTCCATCATTACAAATCAGAGCCTTACAGCATATTTAGCATAGATATAGTGTTTGTCTGTGATCTTTAGTATGTAGTAATAAATATAAAATGGCCACTTTTCTTATCAGTTATCTTATTCCAGATAATTCTGCAATGGGTCTAGTTTTGGAAGTATTATTTTTTATTTCAATATTTCTTTTGCATTTTGTGGTTCTTTTTGGGCAGTTGACAGGGACATTGCTCATGGATCTGTTTGCAAATTCTAATGGGACTGTAGATAAATTCCCTCTCTGGATGGCACCAGGTTTTACCTTTTTCCTTTTACCAACACCAGTTTTCTGGGGCAAATAAAATTTCCTCAGGGGTTTATTTCAGTAGTCTGATAGGGAGGACACCAGTGTCTATCTTTAAAATATATTCTCTCCTATGAGGATGGTTATATTTATGTAAAAACTGCATGTACGTGTGCACATTGTAGTGTTGCTTATAATGATAAAAATTATGAACTCTTTACATGATTATAACATAGGATTAAATAAGTCCTGGAATGTATCTATATCAAAATCCAACTTTATACAACACACATATATACATTCACAGACACATACCCATACATATGCTCATGTGGACATACTTATTCAGCCCTACATACACACATAATACATAATAACACACATGTGCACACATGCATATAAATTTACTCATGCACACCTACATATACATACACATACACACACATTTTAGAGTCTTGAAATTTTATGGATGAACACACTAAATAGAACATGCTAATGAGGAAAAAAATTAATTTGTGGATCATTGGGAACAAAGTGTCTTCCATCTTCTGTGTGGACGTCAGGTCCTGAGTCTACATTATTCAGATGTCTCTGTCCTTTGGTTTCCTCATCCATACAACAGGACAGAGGCAGATCATGCCCTGTCACCAGCTGGAGAAATCATCTCTTGACACATGTGATTAACTGGCAGTGATGTACTCAGGTTTACTATTACTATATTTCTTGCACAGAATTATGCATTTTCATATTTTCAGAGCCCTATGTAAACACTAACATGGGCTCTATTGGGCTGAACCGAGACAGCCGTCTAACTGGGAGAAGTCTGGAACTAGGGATTTGAAGGGAAAGAGAGGAAGCCACATTTTACCTTTTATGTGAATCACCATGTTTCTCTGCCTGCTCATTTTGTCCCTTGGGCTTTTGCTCTGGGCCAACCACTGGCAGCCTTCTGACTTCACAGAGAACTTATAGTCTCTTCAGGGAAGGAAATTGAAGGTGTACAAATACAAAAACAAGTCAAATTATAACTATTTGGAGATGATATATTTTACATAAAACATTCCAAAGCTTCTACCAGAACTTTCTAGAAATAATCAACACCCTCAGCAAAGTGGTGGAATTAAAAAAAATCAAGCTACAAAAACCTTTCTATTTATTGACAACAAGCATGCTAAGAAGGAGATTATGGGCATGTTTCCATTCACAGAAGTCTAAATTTATCTAGGAACAAACCTAATTAAGGAGGTGAAGGATCTCTACAATTAAACAGACCTTTGAAGAGAGGGATGGAGGAAGACATAGAAAGGCTTCCCATGCTCTTGGACTTAGAATTAATATTGCTTGATCTTCTACCATCCTACAGATTCACTGCACTCCCTATAAAAAGTTCCATGTTCTTCACAGAAATAAAATAGAAAACCTGAAATTCACCTGGACACAAAAAAGACCCCAGATAGCTAAAGAAGCCCTGAGTAAGATGAATAGTGCTGGAGGGGTCACCATTCCAGAGCTGTGGAATTAAAGCAGCGTGATGCTGGCACAGACCCAGACATGTAGATGAGTGGAAACAAACAGAAGCTCCAAGGATAGGAATACACTCTAATCCCAGACACATACACACACACACACACACACACACACACACACACACACACAATGCCATCCAGTTGATGTGCATACCAAGGGGACTCAGATGATCTAATTTATATGTGAGTACTAGAAGAAGAAGGGATATCTATGGAGACAACCAGAAGGCTCCCGCAGGCTAGGCCACAGTTGAAGGGGAGCAGTGTTCCAGGCCCAAGGAATAGCATATATGAAAGCATTGAGACTAGACAAAGCAGGGGCAGCCTGGGTAGTGGGAAGACTGGAGGGTCACTGAAGTTCATGATGGTCTCCACTGGCCTCTCCATGAGCCAGTGGCTGGGCTCCCTTGTTAGTCTCTTCACCTTTGTCCCTTGCAAGCACAAGTCAGGTGATAATACTGGGAAAAGATAGATACCCGAATTCAGTGTCCTAGGCTGCCTTCCAGCTGCCTTCATGGGGTATTCCATTTTGGCTTCCAGTAGGCTTTATCTGCCTCTTCCTGATGAGGGCAGAGAAGCTACTAAAAGATATCTGGAGTCACAGAAGGTATGGGATCATGGAGCATCTAAATCTATGGATTGCACATCCCATCATTAATGTATGGGTACATGCTGACCACTTAAAGCTGACTGTTGGACAAACTCAATGATAATAAAGGACACATGTGAAACTGGACACACATATATGTCCAGTACCTGGAAGGTAGAGAGGCAGAAGGCTTAGGAATTCAAGGTCATCTTTGGCTATTTCAAAAGTTTGAAGCCAGCTTTGAGAGACATGAGATTCTGCCTCAAAAGCACAAGTCAAATAAGTTATTTTTCTTTGGTAAGGGTGGCCACTTACCCTTAGTAGGTTGCCTGTGCTTCAGTGAATAATTCTATACCATTTACATATGGGAAGCACCAATAATAATACTCTGTGGCTCATTAATGAAAGAGGACATGAGGCTGAGAGGGAGGAACATAACACTGAGAGAATCTGGGGATAATTGGAGGGAAGGAGTGGGAAATGGATATGATTAAAATACATGGTACACACACATACACACACACACACTCACACACGCACACACACAGAGTTTTTAAAAATAAACTAACACCTTCCACAAAAGACAAATATAAAAAAGCATTTCAAGTCTATGCTCTTTGGTTTGGCAGGATTTTAAAAATGAAACAGAAGGCTCCTTTGATTCTGAGATTTCTAACTTGTTTGGTTTTCCTTTTCAGCCATCAATGTTCACACCACATCCAAAAATGCCAGTAAGTAGCAGTGGGCCCTGTGCACCCTGTGGCCTCAGTTCATCTGGTGATGCTGCAGGGCAAGGGTGGGGGTGGCAGTAGGGGTTCATTTCTCAGCCCTTCATGCTGGTTAGGCAGCCTCAAGGATTCTAGAACTTGTCCTGGAAAACAGAAGGGGACAAATTATTGCAAGAAACTGGTTCTCATGGCAGGCAGACATTCTAGGGACATCACCCAGTGGTCAAGAACAAAGGCTGTCCCTCTCTGTGCAGAGTTTAATTTGTTATGCCCAGAGCTACTGGTTTCTGTGAAACTAGAGATATCAGAACTGCCAGAACAGTCTCTGTCAATGTTGGGAGCAAAGAGACTGAAGATGGGAAGACTTTAAGCTCTCAGTCCATCAAACTGGTTGCCTCATAGAGAGAATTTCCACAATATTCCATTCAGGCTTCTAGGAAATTAAGCCTCCATAGTTTACTGCACACACTGAAACACTTAATAAGAAGATGGAAATCACCTCCACAGCCAGTTTGGGGTTCTGTTTTGATGAAGCAAAACCTCTCACTCTTAGATTTGAACAATAAATCAGGATCATTCTGAGCCTCCAATCCAGCCAACAGGAACAGCCTTGGATATGGTCGCCAGAGAAATGGAAGTGATCTTGTGTCAATTCTGAGAGGTGGAGCTGATGTGCTAAAAAGCAGGAGATGGGGTCACTCTCGAGTTACATGTACCATATGCTTCTATCCAACAGGGAGAGCAAGGGCCTAAAGGCGAAAAGGGTGACCCTGGCGAGCCTGGAGCCCTGGTGAGTCACACACCCTGGACACTGCCCACCATTTCCCTAGTTTGCTAAAGACAAGGAATCCATGCATGTCTGGCTCTAGGTCTTAACCCTACTGGCCGCTCTACATACTGGAGGAATTAGTAAATAGAATGTAGCCTGTTTCAATTCTTAGGACTTTGATGTTATGGCTTTTGTGGATCTCAGATTATAACCATTGCACGTACCCAAACCTGGTTCCATCTTCTAGTTCACTGGACATTTTTCTTTCACTGCAGGGACCACAGGGCCATCCTGGAGAATGGGGTCCTCGGGGACCCATTGGACCTCCGGTAAGAGAGCCCTTTCCCCACTTGTTAGTTTCTGAACCATGCTACCCCATCATGTCTTGTCCACCAGCTTCCTAGTTGACATTTTGAGAATTCTTACTAGGGCAGTAGATATGGAGGTATGGGCTATGACAGAGCTAAGATTCCCAGCACCTTGCAAAACTGACCCCCCAAAACAACTCCCTGGAACAGTCTCTGGGGTCTTAGTTGTCCCTGCTCTTCCACTACAGGGCTTCTTGTGGCTAAGGAAAGATCCCTTAGACTCAGAATGTCCTTGAGTGAGGCTGCCCAGGAAGCAGGATTTTTCTTGGTGTCCAGTGCATTTTCAGATGCAGAAACCTGGCTTCCCTCCCCCAGTAATTGATGGGCAAGTAGGTTCAGAAGATGTCCGGTACATATTAGCATCTTTATTTTATTTTTCAGGAGTGGTTTGGGCTGAGAGGATGATTCAGTTATTTGAGAGAGGAAGGAAAGGGACTCTATGTAGTTGGCAAGAGCCTATTAGTTGTTTAAAACCCCCACGGTCAAGGTTGCCCAACTCTCTGCCTCATTTACGTAACGAGTTAATGATAATAAGTGGATGACTTTATGGATAGTGATGAAGATGTGCAGGGTCAGTGATGGAGGCTTCCCTGCATCCAACAGAGCCTGGTTTCTGCTCCATCCTTTTTCGTTTTGATGAGTCAGGTTTGAGTAGCAGATTAGCACTGTCTGTGACCTCAGGCCTCTGACCTACCTCCTTTGTTCTCTCTTACACAGGGTGCCAAGGGGCATGATGGTGCACAAGGTCCTCCTGGAGCAGCTGGAAACCCTGTGAGTCCTGTCTTGCCTGACATCTGGGGACTTCCTAGAAGGGGTGGCCCAGATGAACATCTTTTCCCTGTCTCACAATTCTGAACCAACTGGGATGTGGCAAAGAAAGCAAATCCACATTGATGGAGCTCTCCAGGGGCCATTTGAACCTGAAGCATAACCGGAGATGCCCTCATCTCTATAGTGTTCCAGCAGGCCTGGACTTTGTTCATGTGTCCAGCCCTGAGATAAATTCCCTCCTGGACAGACATGGATGCTACAAAGACAATCCCAGTGTTAACCCAGGTGGTACCTGTGTGCCCAACAGCAAGAGAAATATTTAGTTTGCAAAGGACACACAAAGGATCTTTGCTGCACAAAGAGAGCCACTCCCAGATGTTTGCTATTCTGAGGACTGGGCTTGGTTTCTGATCCACAATTCCACAACTGTCTCTCCGTTTTTCTTTTTGTCTCTGTGCCTCTTTCTGTCTTTGTTTTCTCTACGTCTGTCTCTCTCTGTGTGTCTCTGTCTCTCACACAGACCCTCAAACACAAAGTGGCAGACAAGGCATTGATTGTACAGATAGTTATTTTCCAGCAGGCACTTTCTGAGCTCTTAGGCTGCTGTTCCTGTCTCCCCTGGCCACAAAGTATGTTTAATTTCAGAGCTTTTCACTAGGACTGCATGGAGCTGTGTTGCATGGCCAAATCTGTAGCGCTCAGGGATCTCCATGGTACTAGATGGACACAGAGCCAGACTGACCTGCCTGGTCTCCCACAAGGAGCATCAATGTCCAGTCTAGTTCTGGAGCTACAGACCAAATTCACTAGCCAAAATACAATTATGTGACTAGGCCACCTGTGACTGCGGCTTACCAGAGATGGGATCAGGTATGAATGGAGGTTAGTGCTAATGACACAGAAGGGGCAGAGACAGGTATTCTCCTAGCAAAGACAGCCTGGCCTGTTCTCAGCCTGAGTAGAGTAGAAGCAGTTTAGAAAGGAGGCTGGGAGTGCGCTCTGTGATTTCTGACCGGAAGGACACGTGATCTGTGAGAGTGCACCTAAGCAATTTCCAGTTCTCATTCCATGGCACTGACCCTCCTGAAATGCCCTCATCAGAACCAGTCTTGCCTAGCCATGACCTACCATCAAGTTCTAATTAAAATCCACTCCAGGAAGCAATCACTGACCATCCAATCAAGCACATACATGTCATGTGTATACAGGCGCAAGCACCCGCAGTCACACCCCTCCTCCCCTCTCTCCCCAGGTGCCCTTGCTCTGCGAATGGTGCCAGCATCTTCAGCATGGCACTGCCTTAAAGAGGTCTTCCCAGAGTCATGCAGCCTCTTGATTTCCTTACCCCTCCCCCTTCCCCTCTCCAAAAGTTTCTTTCTGTCCATCTCCTTGCCAGCCACTGCCCAACCCTTATCACTGGTGTGTTTCACAAGGCTTGTCTAGGGTCCTTTAACACCTCAGTGGGCCAGGGGCCTTTTCTTCATAACTCAACGCTGAACAATTCCCTCTTCTATTTCTATGCATAAGATCAAGGCTGATGATCATTCAAACTCCTTAGGCATGACGAGGGGCTTTATTTATTTTCTGCCCGCTCTTGCCATCCCCACTTCCCACCCCAGTGCCTGGGATTGAGGAACTGTGAGAGTCTTCCTGTCTCTGGTTCCTTCTACTCCCAAGTCCATTCACTTGAGTCTCACTGGGGGTGGGGATACTATACTCCAACGAAGAGCAAGTTCCTAATATCTATGAGTGTCCATTTAGAAGCTGTTCCAGCAGTCCAGGGTGAACTCAGTGTGAGACATGTATGGAGAATGGCTGGGTTTAGTTATTTCTAGTCAATACATTTGGCTTTTCTCAATTGCTCCATCTCTGTTTAGGGTGCTCCGGGACCTGCAGGACCTCCAGGTCTCAGTGGCCCGCCAGGAAGTTTGGTGAGTATTATGAAGAGAGAAAGCATGTTGGTGTGGGTTGTGAACCTTCAGTGTCTGCCTCTGTTCACTCCCATCTCCTCCTTCCCATCCACATAGAGCTGTGGGCAGCATTATCAACAATGTGTTGATGAGGGCTACCCAGATGGAACATTACCAACCCAAGGTTCTAGGCAACATGTCAGCTTCCTGGGTTGTAGATAGATTTGGTGTGACAGAGAGGCTGTACATTTCACTGATGTTGGAATCAACATCACAGTTTGCCTTCAAAGAAATAAGTGAATCTAGAAATAAGGGTCCCAATGGCTGGTAGATACACCACTGACACTAAACAGTAGGTCTCTGACACCAAGTCAGATTTTTGAGTTTAAAGAAACTATTGATGTCAGCCCTCACCTGGTCTGCCTACCCAAAGACTGAGGCTGTTGAGACAAGCACTCAGCAGACCATACCCGTTCTCAAAGTTTTGTTGTTATAAGCTCTAGGAGCAGACTCTGGCAAGGACATGGGCAACAGCGAGTTTAAAACTGGATGGGGAATACATGAGCGGAAGTGAAAGGGGCCCGTTAACATAATCCAGGGGGCTAATATCCATCAAAAACTGACCATGTGAATAACCTTTCTTTTTTTCAGGGTCCCCCTGGTGTCAGAGGCACCCCTGGGAAAGATGGGGAGCGTGGAGAAAAGGTAAGAGCAATGTAGACTGCAGGAAGGCATCTATTGTTTTAGGCTTCACTCGGCCAGTAGGTGAGGAGCTCAGACTGCTCAGGGCTGGCTTAGGGCCCAGGCATTAGAAAGGACTGTATGGCTGAGAGGGGAATGTGAGGTCTCATATTCTCTCACTTTCATTGCTCACCCAGGGCTCAGAGCAATGTCCCCTTTACCGTTGTAGACAGAAGCTCTGAGCGACTTTATTTGCTCTGTATCTCATAGCTGGTGAGCAGCAGAGCTGGATCCCAGTGTACAGTCTACTTTTAATTCAGTGATCCACTTATCCACTGGGCATCATGGTTACCAGGGAACCCTTCCCAAGCCTGAGAAAGCATTTTGTTTATTATAGAAAAGAATCCCCCTTTCTATCAACTAGAACGAGCCCACAGGCCTAGGAGGAACAGGCACCCTCTTCAGTCCCTCTGCACATTGCTCTGACATGGCCATGTGCTTTAAGGAAGGTCCTCATCCGTGTTAGCTATGCCAAGGCAGGGCTTGAGAAACCTACAGTGTTCATCAGTGCCCAAGGCAGATATTGAGTTTTAGACCCATTAAAGGCTGGTTCTATGTCTGAGTTGTGGGACTCTGAACTAGGATGAGAAATGTTATCCAGTAGGAACAGTCCCACCACCTCTTGACATTTGGTGGTCCCTACACCAAGGAGAGGGGCTGCACCTGGCTTAGCATATGCAGAACAGGATTCTTCCTCAACTATCACAAAAAACAGTGAAGGATGCTGTTCCCATCACTCACAAGATTCAGCCATCCTCAGTGTCAACAAAACCAAGGCTGAGAAACTACCACCCTAACAAATAGCACTCTAGATGCACTTGGATTTGCTCAGCTGTAAAGTGAGGATAGCAGAAGGAGCTTTGGTCCAAGCATATGAACATCACCCCAAGGACTGTAGGCAGGGGCGTAGCCTTGGGAGAGAACATGTGACAAGGAGGTGATGGTGTGCCTTGACCCATCACATATCAGGTGTCCTTTCTCCAGATGTATTGTCTACAGCAGTCTACACAACTGCCCAAACATGGCTGGCCTTTTAGATAGGGTCTCACTCTGTGGCTCATGCTAGCCTTGAACTCACTCTGTAGTTTAGGCCAGCTTCTAATCTGTGGCAATTCCCCTGCCTCAGCCTCTCAAATGCTGAGATTAGAGGTGAGGGCCACTCCAAATCAAATCCATCAAATAGATTCCTTCTCTTGGAAACATTGTCAGAAATTATCACTTTTTATTTTTATTTTTTACCTTTCATGGTTTTATTGTGGTAAAATTTTAAGAAGAGTGAGTGGTACTTTTTTCATTTTAGCAAAAGATTTGATTTTAAAATATGAGTTTCAGAGGAAAAATGATTTATTTTAGAGGAAAAACAAACTGTAGAACATATATTTGGTTTGTGATCTGTTGACGACAAGCTTAATACTAATCCCTGGGTAGTACAAAAGCAAGATGTTTGTGTGTGTCCTGAATGTCAGGAGCTTTCTGTATAGACCTGGGTAGTGTACTACTTGCAGTAAGCACCATGTCTTTTCTTCCTGAATCCTTGGATTATAAATGTATGCCACAATGCCCTGTAGGTGCTTCTTTTTTTAAAAAAAGATAACGCCACCTAAAATTGCAGAGACAGAGCACCTAAGTTTAAAAGGAATTTATCCAAATTACATTTCTGTGTGTTGTTGGCTCATTTAACCTCTAGGGGGAGCCAAACACCTTTTCTTGACTGTGGAAAAAGAATGACTGGGAGCAAGGCCCAGGGTTGGAAGGGACCAGATCTCTGCAAAAGGACAAATTTCCCTCAAATTCATACCTACTCTTTCTTTAGCAGGTGCCATGTCTGTCTGGAAGCTGGGAATATCCACCTTGCTCTCTAGACTTGAAGGGGCCCCTCTCCCTTTCCTGCTTGAGAGCCTTAACTAATTATCCTGCATTTCCCCATCAGAGAAGGGATAAAGACAGGCAGGGTGAGGCTCCGTGGAGGCTCTGCTGGAAGAAAGGACTTCAGCATATGAATGTGGGGGGAGCAGAGTTCAACGTCTGACCTCCACTGAGCAGTCTGTCTTCTGATGCTTTAGAGGGATAGGCAGCTCAGAAAGCTGCCATGCAGGCTCCGGCTACCTGTAGCTAATGCTCATCAAGGTCCTCTTTTCTCCCCAGGGAACAGCAGGGGAAGAAGGCAGTCCGGGGCCAGCTGGTCCACGGGGAGATCCTGGTGCTCCTGGCCTCCCTGGACCACCAGGAAAAGGGAAGGATGGGGAGCCGGTAGGTGGTGGCCTGACATCCTTTGAGCTTTGGGAAGCCAGGCTTACAGGAGGAAAGAGAACAGGGCAAAAGCCAAGACTCATTGTAGAAAATGAGCCATAGTTGATGCACTGAAGCTGGGTGGGAAGGGGGTACTGTAAAGCTCAAGATGTCCCTTGGTCCAGGGACATAGTCCTGCCAATCAGCATGCTTAAAGGTAACAATAAAGTAGAAACCTTGTAACACTGTATTTCCATGACAGTTTTTACTAACTCATGAATTACTGCTGAAATCTGTGACTTGATACTTTGAGCCTGTGGTTGACCACACGAAACTGGATCCTTGGATATGCAAAACCACAAATGGGGACATATGGCAGCTGTACTCCCAACCGGCTTGAAGCACATGGAGCTCAGGTTGCAGGCTCAGGATCCAATGGAAGCCAGTCATGCAAACAAGTTTCAAAGTACCCAGTGGTTGTGGCGC